GGATATTCAGCTTTTCCTTGTAGTCTGCATTGGGGGTTTTCTGCTTCTGTTAAAAGTCCCATCAGAGCTATTTGTAGGAACAGCATTGCAAATCTGCACTCCTGATCAAATACCAAACATTTAAATGTACTGTGTTTTATAGAATTCTGGGTGTCACAGGTGTTCAAACTGAAGGAAGTCGACATTTTATTTTCATCAGGAACTTTATTCACAGAGGTAAACAGAAGATGCCTCAGGTGCTAAGCTGCCTCCTAACATGCAGTTCTGAGCCACTGTGTATATGATTAATTTACTACTCACTTTCGGAACTGTGCGTTATCAATGTGCTCATGCTTAGATGGTACGGTAATTTTAGAATTTAGATAACATTATTGTCTTTCCGTTATTGTAGTTAATAAATTCGTTCTGTGAGCAGTTTTTTTGTTATTTGTTCATTTATTATTTTGCTGCTTTTTATTTCCTATTTTTATTTCCTATTTTGTTATTTGATTTGTTATTTTGCAAGCACAAACGTGTATTCCCTATAAATAATAATAATAATAATAATAATAATAATAATAATAATAATAATAATAATAATAAAGTCCAGAATACACCTGCAGATCCCAGGTCATATCCTAGAATAATTCTTTCTACTTAGTATTTTATGTTTGAAATTGCATGCTTGTTTTTTGCTTGCAAAGGGAGGTGAAGACAGAGGCATTTCACCATGGTCAGCTTGACTAAAATTATTTACATTCAGAAAATGCAGATAACATTGTAGTGACTTGCATGCATTGTTTGTACAGTATGTTGTATTTCATGCTGTAATGATAATATTAGTTGATACTTTATGTTAGATCTCACTTTTTTAATTTTTAGAAATGTAATACTATTGGATTCAGTGTAACATTAAAGGCAATATATTCTTACCACATAAATTGTGCACCATTAATTTACATAAAAAGACAATTGCTAATAAAAGATGTAGGAAATTTTATTTAAGCATACAGTATATGTATTATTTGTGTGTTCACTACTTAACTACAATATATGTTAGGTTTTCAGAAATCTCTTATGACTATACATCTCTTAAAATAAGATATAATCCTATATCCATCTTTATAACCCACTAAAAATAAAGGATTAAGGTTTAGGTGATGAAAAACTCCAGTCCTCAAAGATGTACTTTCCTCATCTGATATTACTTGATTAATGAAAAACATATTTGATAATAAGTCAAATCAGCTAATCTTCTTAAGTATTGTACAATAATTAATTGACAAGTTCCTAGCTGATCTGCAGAAGCCTACACCTTGTGGAACAGTGTTGCCCTTTCATGATGCAAGGAAATGTCAAAGATTCAAAACAGAGGATAAATTGTGATTGAAGTTCAAGCACTTTGTCTTTCTTATATACCTGGGAAATAAAAGTCATATACTGTATATACAGTATATATACTGTATACATGATATTAAAGACTAAAGAGATTTTGAAGACACTTTACCCATCATGAGCTTTCTTGTGTTTTTCTCAGGTGTTACTAAAATAATGTAACATTTAGGAATGAAAATGCAGAACAACAGCCCAAAACTTGAGGCTAAAATAGCAAATATTTCCACAGCTACAGTGAACTTTCCAGGGGAGCTGATATAGGCTGGGATAAAGGTGATCCAGACAGCACAGAATATGAGCATGCTGAATGTAATGAATTTGGCTTCATTGAAGTTATCAGGCAGCTTCCGAGCCAG